TAGCAAATTTTTTTATGTCCTTAATAACCTCAACAAACCTCAGTGATCCCTGGTATAACGTATAATTCCAATGATCCCAGTGGAAGAAACGAAACGCAGCACTGGTAATTTTCAATACTGCCAACTTTATCTTTTTTCCCAACACCAACCAAACTTATTTTCGAACGCACTCTTTATTTTTGAAAATGAGGTGCCAGCGATAAAAATAAGAAACTAAAAAATAATTAAAAGCCGGAATTATAATTAATAATACGTATTAAGAGCTTCAAAATTTTTCGAGAACTATTGAATTTTACAAAGAAAAAGATTTTTTTTCAAACTTGAGGTATGAAGTTATGAGAAAAATTAATTGGTTTTATTTTTTCTCAGTTCTCCAAAGAGTTTAATTCGTCGAAAAGCTTTTGTCTTTGATCATTGGTACCTTAAAAATTATTAATATATCGGCATTTTTGCGAAAAAAAAGTAAAGAGAGCAAATTTATCAGAGAGCCTTTCATTAATTAAAGTTGCGAGGTGTCGAATAATATGATATACATAAATTATAATTTTTAACGAATTATTATTTTTAACTTACTTGTTGCACAATGGACTTCTCGTTTGTTCCAAGCGAAGATCCCATTTCTTCATAGCAGATGTATCGACGAGCTTGCTGATTTTTTTGATTCCTTCAAGCAGGATGAACATATCTTTCTCATTTGTAAAGTAATTTGGATAAATCAGCGGCAAGTCTAAAGGATTATTCGAGCGGAGCTTTATGTCGCCCCGACTCTCCGTATAAACTACCGTAGGTCTCGCCACGATTTTTCTTCGATCCGGACAATCGCCGATTCTGCCGTTGGGACACTCGTTGAGTAGACCTGTCTTTGGGCAGGTGGAACTGAAACCGTCGAAAAAGACTTGAATGTCCGGCATGCCGTTGAGAGCGTAACTGCTCTCTAGAAAAGCAGTAACTTGGGTGACGCCGGTACTGGCTAACGGACCGCTCTTGCTTCTTAAATACTCATTCACGGCATCCATAGTTATGGTCTCATACGGAATGTCCTTGATACTCATGGGAACCGCCACGGACACGTGATTATGCAAATTCTTGCCAACCGGTAGATTTTTGTACACTCTGATACCGAGCTTAACGAGATCCTTCTCGGGTCCTATGCCGGAATTCATAAGGATGTGCGGCGAGCCGATAGCACCGGCCGTGAGGATTACCTCCTTGTCGCATTTGACCACCCTTTTGTTGCCATTTTTATCGATCAGTTCCACGCCGTGAGCCTTCTGTTCCCACGGACTGATCAAGATTTTGGTGACTTGCGCGTTTGTCAGTACTCGCAGATTCTTACGTTCGTGAACGGGTCTCAAGTATGCTCTCGAGGTCGTGAGACGCATACCATTCTCGGTCGTCATTGGCGCGATCATAAAGCCAGTTTGGTTGTATTCCTTTAATCGGGAAGTTTTGTAACCCAGCTCACCGGCGGCTGTCAGAAGTACATCTGCAAATTCCGGTTTGTGTGGATAATATTGAATATTTATCGGGCCACCTTCCTTCAGGCTTCTGTGCGTGTCCGACAGGATCATCGGGTCGACTGGGTTTTCCACCCGTTCGAAATAATGCCTGACCTCATTGTAGGACCAACCAGAGTTTCCCGCTCGTGACCAACGATTGTAGATTTCAGGATGACCTCGAACGTACATCATACCATGCAAACCACCAGTTCCGGCGACCATCTTGCCTCTCGGCCAAGTACAGACGCCGTCCGTTTCTGAAAAAAGGAATTGCGACATAATTAAAATAGTCTCTTTGATAAATACATTATCTTTAAATGTTTTTTATCTAATTCACTATATCATATATTATTTTTATTATTTCAAAAAACAATTATATGTTGTTAAGAAATTTAATAGATAAAAAACGTCACTCTAAGATTGAAATTACTATTACTTTTAGCGTTTTTGATTATACGGATTTTGATCGACCCAAGGTTCAATCAATCACTATTTTACTATGAATTTATGTCTTCTATTGGTGGAGATGATGCAATGATGTCATTAATCAACCTTGGGTCGATCAAAATTTGTATAATCGAAAACGCTATTTATTTTTTGCCAATATTTGAATCATCTATATTTGATATTGATATATTTGATAAAAGTTGAATTATCTCTTTTTCTCTCTTTTTCTCTCTCTTTCTCTCTCTTTAGAAAATAAAGACAATTGTGGTTTAACTAAAGTTTTTCATATTATAATTATGAAACATTTTAATGTCTATAATTACAGTTGAACGTCACATTTGCAATTTAAGATGCTATACCTAAGCAGGCGGTAGGATGTGGTGATGTTGGTTCTGTCTTCAAGTTCCAATCGAGAGACGTACTTATGGCATTGAACGCAAGTCCTGGTATAGCTGTCATAGTAGGTTCTTCTGGGCCGGCTTCGATAAGTAGAACTTTCCGCCATGAATTGTCGCTTAATCTTTTAGCGATTATTGGCCCTGCCACACCTGCGCCGACGATTATAAAATCGAACCTAGACATTAATAACCACAAAGGAATATGTACAACTGGATGCATAATAATTCTTCATGAATAGATAATGTTAAAAATGTATAACAAATTTTTCTCGTATTATCTCTCATTTATGATTTTAAACATATAAAAACTAACCATTTTTTCTTTTTGTTTAATTTGGATACACTTTAATTATTTTTTGTTAAACATTTATTTTGTCGATTATCTATCTGAACGTAACGAACATTAATAACGATAAGTTTAATATTTTATACATTACTTGAAGTAATTTAAATTATTTTCAATTATTTTTTTTTTGTTTTACATCTTTATTCTACTTCTTCGATTACACGGTTTAATAGCTGAGGCTTATTTTAATTTTCAAAATTATATCTCTTGAAAACAAAACAAAGTTATTTGTTAATAGAATATTTATTTTACATTTTTTTCCATAGAATTATTATATTTTCCAACAAATTATAGCAACAGCTATCATCCCGTGTACGTGTAACGCATGGTTAATCATAAAAATATATTTTAGAGATAGATCTTCTAGCATGTGTAGATTTCCTACCATTCATTTTCGTTTGGTGCTTCGTCCCTGCCTAATCGTCGGCAGGGATCAGCGATATCGCATCTGGTGGACATTACACTTTGAACCAATGTCATAAAACTGTTTCTGTCCCCACAGATACGGGTCATATACTCCGTATCTTCAAATTGGCAAGAACAACATCCAATGTTCGCGCTGCTGCTAATTGTTTGACCAGACTGGAATAATGAAATGTTATTATTATAAATAAACACGAATAAAAGATTTTATGTTCTATTGTTAAGAAGTTGCAAGCAGAAATTTACAAGTATCTTTTTATGCATTGAGCATAATTATTTACACGATTATCTTGAATACTATACGTATATTTCTTTCATGTATAATAAATATATACCAAGAGTAAAAGCATAATAATGAAAACATACATTTTGTTGAGCAACTAAATTAATCAATGCTACCTATTAAGTGCTTGTTAATGCCTACTTTCAAATGTGTCAGAAAGATGTTTCTTGGCAGGTTTTAATGCCATCTATAAATTGCATTTAACGTTAATCCATATGATTATGCCTGTATTTTTATAATTGTACCGTCCGAATTATTGAGAATTTTTTCTAAGATGTGCTGCCCGCAACGTATTAAATTTACGTCTCAGTGTTTCTTTTTATCCGATTATTCGGATAATTAGGGTACTCTCCAGTCGCAGAGAGAAAAGATGGATTCAACACACACAAACACGTGCACTTAAATCACGATAATGCGTGAATGCGACAATCTTCATGATTATAACATGTCTTTATTTTAAAAATTTTTACTTAAATATTGTACAATCATACACATATATGAGTATAATAATGCATCTTAAACCTATATAGGAATCTATGATAATTCAATATTTTCTTCTTTTCTTTTCATTTTTTTTATTTATTATTCTATTGATTTTATTGCTCCAGTCATATTACCAGAAATAGTGTTTGTACTAAATTGTAAAAAATTTGTAACGATAAAGTCATTATTATCATCATAAAAATGAGAAAAAATGAGAAAATATATTTTTCACATATTACACACACATATATTTAACACATGTATTTGTTAAACAACAGAACTGAAAAGCAAATTTTTATTGAGCGATTTACGAAATTATCTTTATTTGCTCCGTACTTCTTTTTTCGTACCCTACATACATCTTTGAATTGTTTTTTCAATAGAGGATGTCGCGATAACATTAAAGCTTGAACTTTGAAACTTTCTCAAGTACAAAATTAAAATTAAATCTCCTACAATAAAATTTTTTCGTTTGTTTACATTTTTTTGTTAGATTTATGTTAGTTTAGTTAATAATTTAGTGTAAACACTAATTTCTGGCATTAAGTGACTAGAGAATTAAGATTGGATAAGCAGAACAATCAATTAGAAACGTGGAAATTTGGTAATATACACGGGGAAAATTTTATATCAAAAATTCCTATGCCGAAAATAGCTGCCATTTTTTTAAAAACAATAAAGCAATGTAATTTTTACAGTGTTTGTTTGAATTTTACTTTTGTTACATTACAATATATCTTAGAATATCATTACGGTTCATGAATAATAAAAAAATAGTAACATGTGATTTGAGATTGTATTACAAATTAATATAAAATTTTCTCCGTGCAGGACAATATTATATTTTACTTACTTTATGTACTTGGAGTGGAGTAGCAATAACGTGCTGCACCAAGACTAAGAAAAGAATGTACCTCTGCATATCTGCAATTTGAAGACTAATATCATTCGAATGAAAGAAAATTATATAAAATTAATGCTGAAAAATTAAAAAAGTGAATTGAATTAGTTAAATCACAAAGAAAAAATAATATTGTACATATATACATGCCCGCATGTGTGTGTACAAATTTATAATAAAAGTTATAAAAAATTTATTATTGTATTATATATATAATGCACATAATACAACTGTATATGTGTGCGTATAGGAATGCGTTCGCGTAATAAATTGCACATATAAAACTCTTATATAATTATGCGTGAATTTATACGCGCACACACACGTACTAAATTATTCCATATAAATAAATTTTATTATAATTTGCATGGACTGAGCATAATTAAGTTATATGTTTCTTTTGTAGATATATTGGACAAAAGTCAACGTTTAATTCTATAGTAGGTGATTGTTAATAAAGTACAGATTTTGCGTTGTACTTATTAATGAAAAGGTGTATAATCACCCGCAAATGATTGCAAAAAAGTTTCGACACATGTCACTTATATACATTTGAGCTAGATGAACGAAACGTTAATTGCGATTTGTAAGATTGCCATTAAAAACAATGACATATGTCGACGTTGTAATATAAGTGCACGTTTTGCAATAAACTTAACTGTCCCATACTTATATCGATAACCCCGTGGCATCATTTTAAATTTTACCTTGTCGTACAAGATAAAATGTTAGATGATTTATAACTTCATATAGGTGATTAGTTTCTATTAATTCTTTATAATTCGCCTACTTTTCTGTAGAATACGCGGGTAAACGCGATATATATATATGTGTGTGTGTGTGTGTGTGAAAAATATGACGTATTAAATTAATTAACTTGTTAGATTAACTAACTTTTTAATATTACTTATTTACTGGAGAATACTTTGAATGATCTGAAAAAATGCACTGTGTTCGATTTTGGGCATTCCACGTAAAAGTGCATTATCGCCTGTCTGTGATAAATTTTTACCGTAACGATCGAACGAATAGCATCTGACACAGCACAGCGAATGTACAGACAGGCGCGAAAGGTCTGGGAAAATTTCTCCATCTAAAGTAAGTGAAATTTCGTTAAACACCATACATTGGCAGATGTGGATATTGTATAAAAAAAAATAATCTACCCTTCACTCCAAACAATACACGTCATTTTGATAAAACGCACGAAACAAAAGTTTTTATTATAGATTGCAATTCCAATTCCAATATATGTAGTAAATTGAAAGAATTTTTAAATTTTATAGAAATTTTTTATTTTTCTAATTTGTTTCCGTTTTTTGTAAAAAATTTTTTCGCAGCACGGAGAAAAACGAGTATTGCCTGAATATCGGAGAAGTAAAGTTATCTATAAATAATAAATAATAATAAAGAATGTTTTACAAAAACATCTAAAGTTTTAGAAAATATAGTTAGTGTAAAAAAAATTTCAAAATTACTTTTATGTATCTCAAAATTGCTTTTTTTCAAATATTACCTGATTTTAACTGGATAAAAATATCAAGTCTTAATACTTGGTGACAATCGACATTTCAAGGCTATTCGTACGATGATATAATACAATACACAAACACCAACTGATTTCTTTCCTCACCAGATTTTAAACGATAAAGTCACAGATTCTAAACGATCAATTCGAAGCGTCTTAGATTTGTAATGAGTTCATTTCCTCGTTGAGGACTATTCGGCAAGGGATAGTATACAACTACAGCCACAATATATGCACTAATCGAGAGACTCGTCGCGTGTGGTCAAGAACATATTCGTCGACAGAGAAAACACACGTGGTGTGACGTCATCGCGTCGCTCCAAGTAGGATTCACATCGCATGGATTAATGTCGAAGAAGACATTAACGATCAAGTAACTAACTTTTTAAGAAATCAATGAGAAATTAAACGCTTCTCTAACCCTACATCCAACGAATTATACAAAATTTGTTTTTGCGAAAGAGAATGGGACAAAAGTAATGAATTCTAAACTGAATAATATATTAGTGCAAAATTACAAAAAAAGTTGAAGAACTTTTGTACCACCGCAACCTTCGCTTTTGTGAAAATTATCATATTTATTTGATTCATTAACATATAAGCCGCAGAATTGAGGAAACACGAGCAAACATTTGCATTGGCTGCAACAAAGGGAAGGGTCGTTCGTTCGTTGCGCAAACTAATTGAATGGCATAAAAGTGTTTGTGCGAATTATTAAATAAATTCATGAAATTGGAAAGTATTTTATAAATATCTTGATTTTACGATGAAATGTGAGTGAAAAGAGTGAAACGAATATAGATACAGACTTGGAATAGATGAGATACAGACAATAAAAGATGGCTACTGTTGCACATTATTCTACGTATTTTTGTCAAAAAATCTTACCGAACATGACGATATATTCGACTGATCTGACTAGCTTCAGAGTACCGTTGTCACCGACCGGTATAATTTATACTGGATTACGGGAGAAAATAAACTTTATCACGATTAAACTTTATCACGATATTTCGGATTTGAATGAAAAACACCAACCAGCACCGCACACGTGGTGGAAGAAGACAACTTGATGACAATGAATATCACACACTTGTGTACACAAATTAAGCATTATTACATTATGATGAGAGGGTGAACGCATACACATACACAGGTGAATTTGAGGTAACACGTATCCATATATTTACATTTTGTGATCAATGCATTGGACACTATTATTAACGATATAATTGAAAACTATGTAGAGACGTCCACTTATATTTCATGGAGCAATTTAAGCAATTTATTGTAAATATTCTGTATTACATAGCATAGGAATTTCAAACATCTTTCTTTAAGAATATAAAAGTGTTACATAAATTTTGTGATGCATACATTTTTCAAATATATTTTAGTATTCAAATATATGTGTGCTCAGTTTTTTTATATCTATAAAGATACACGCACACATAACCTCATGTCATGCTAAAGACAAAAACAAATCTTATTTCATTCGTTTGTCATTATCATTAGTGTATTACAATATCTTTTTATTATTTCTAAAACTGCATAATTCTGTTAATATTTACGTCATATACATTTTTATCACATTGTTTCTTTCCGTAACCTTCAATTAAGCCCCCAGGTTCAAGATTCTTGATGTGGAATTTGAAGCATATTTTCATGATTTACTCGAGCAAATCCATATGTGCCATATATCATTCTTTGATTTATATGTATACACTGCATGCACAGTATTATTGATAATATGCAAACTCTCAAATTGGCAATAAAATGACAATTTAAAGGATTATGCAGGCTAATAAAATAACAAAAGTTTGCAGAAATTAATATAAATTTTATTGTAATTTAACCATAAATTTTTATTTTTAACCATAAATTTTTACGATCACACAAGAGAATAAAAAGATTGAAGACTTATCGGCTTTTAAATATTTCTCAACGATTCTATACTTTTGTATAGAATTTTGAAATAGCTGCTATCAGGAAAGGTGATGGAAAACAAGTATAATAAAATATACAAATTCCAATGAGATTATATTCTCAGCTCTAAATTATTAATCAATAAACAATTTAAATATAAGGCTGATAAGAGCTTGAGCTAGTTATTGTTGCTCTTTATTAATCATTTATATTATACAAAATGTAAATTATGGATGACTTATACATAATATTCATATTAATGGGGCCTCCATATTTTTTATTTGTACATATATACATACACATTGATCGGAGGATTATATTATAACTCATTTATATTAAAAAAACACTAGAATAGTTGGCGTATCAATTTTTTTTTTTTCTATAGCAACAGCTTTTTTAGAATATGTTCTACCTTGAAATTTCATGCGATAACAGCGTTTATTTTATTGTAGCCGAACGTTTGTACACTTTTATTGTAGCCGAAAAGTTTGTACACTTTTTAATCGTATATTAATAAAGAGAAACAATAACTAGCTCAAGCTCTTATCAGCCTTATATTTAAATTGTTTATTGAATAATAAAATATGTTATTATTTGGGTTATATCTTGTATCAATGTTCTTTTCGATTTTTATGATATAGTGTTGATCTTCACATAGAGTGACTTTGTCTTATGTTGACTTTAATATCACGGTCAAAGCGCTTAATTTTTTAATAAGAATTTTAAATAATTTCGAACTTATCAGGTAATATGACAAAATTATTTGCTCAGTGCGTTAATCAATATATGCATATATAACGCATATCATGTGTGTAATGACGTGAATTAAATAAATATTTAAAATAATTGCATATTTAATGAGAATCACCATAGATTGGTAACTTATTATGCATCAATAATTTTTATATTTCGTTAAATAAATTGATCGTTCATTAAAAAGCAAACCAAAATCCAATACATAAGTTGAATATAAGCATAAGCGATCTAATCAATTATGAAAAGTTTATATAAATTACAGGGACAAAACCTTTTCAACACGTATATTTATTTAATAATTACAACTAACAATAAGCGCTTTACAACTCGTTCAATAGAATTTTTCGATCTCTAGATCTCTTTCGCTATTCTAAAATTTTAAATAAAATTCTGAAAAAAGTATTTTTTACAGTCGAAAAGTATCTTACAGTTATTGTCTACAATTAATTAAAACATAACAAAGTTGAAACAATTGTAAAAGGACAGAATTATGGGAAATTATGTTGATCTGACACACGTAATCTTTTGCACGCATTTTTCAGCATCAACGAAATCATGACCAATCTTCTTTTATCATATCAGCACCCTTCTCCGCTATCATAATCGTCGGCGCATTAGTATTACCCGAAACTATGTGCGGCATGATCGACGCGTCGATTACCCGTAATCTCGCAATTCCATGGACCCTTAATCTTGCATCAACGACTGCGTGATCATCATTGGCAGGACCCATCTTGCAGGTGCCAACTGGATGAAAAATCGTCGATGTGAAGTGACGTGCGTAGCAAGCCCAATACTCATTTGACGAACCATCAAACTGCGAACATCCTGATATCAGATTCGGATTCAATCGTGCGTTTAACTTTCGCATGAGACGAGTACGACTCAACTTTTCCACGAATTTCATACTCTCCGCCTAAAACCAGTATAATTCATTAAATCTTTGTTAATCTTCAGTAAATTTTCAAGCACACAACAGTGTGCCTAAGCGATAAGCCCGGAGTAGTAGTCATACGATGCATAATTATTTTATTAATTTATTGTTCTTTTACGATACTAAATTAGACAAGATGCTAAAAGACCAAACTAAGCAAACAACAATTATGAATGATACATTTTGCATGGTTCATTACCATGCTCAGTCAAAGTTAATTATAATATAAAAACAGCTCTTACGCTGGCGACAAAAACATATCCGATGTAACGTACCAAAACTTGCAGATCGTAAGGATCATCGAAATAATTTGGAACAATAACCGGAGCTTCGTTCGGATCGATCGATTTGAGTTTGATATAACCCCTACTACGTGGTCTCAGTAGGAGCGGAAAAATTCCGAAAGTTTCAACGTTTTCTGTAATATTTTCATACAAGCTAGAGGCCGCGTATGGCTCAATCCCGTATACATTTGTTGTGAAAGATCCGAAGTCTGAAAAGGCTGAGAACAACAGTTGTATATCTGGATAATCGATCGTCTCGTCTGCATATCTACAACATAATAAAATGAATTAATTATTATCGACTTTTGTTCTTTAAATTAAATTAAGTTAAATTAAATTAAATTGTGTAATTATTTTTGGCTGTAAAATAATGTACATGATGGTTGAAGATTCATAAATTAAATCGCTTACTTGGTGTTAATAAATGCTGTTGCCGAGCAGAATGCTGTCGTATAGAGCGGACCTGAATTGTTCAACATCATTTCTCTAATGGCTTCCAACTGAATTTCGGAAAATTTTAAAGTGAATTTGTCTTGTTGTGAGATATTGTGTGGAGGATCGATAATATAAATAATTCCGGCCATTCCAATGTGATCTTGAAGATTCTGTCCTACACCGGGTGCATGATGCACCACAGATATCTTCATCTCTTTGAGATGTTGACTTGGCCCGATTCCCGACAGCATTAGCAATTGCGGCGACTGTATCGCACCCGCAGAGAGAATCACTTCGCGTTTTGCGCTAATTGTGAAACGTTTCGTGCCTTTACGAAACAGTACTCCATATGCCATCTTCGTCATGCCATCTACAAATGGTTTATTCTCTTATTTTTATACACTTGTTGTATCGAAACACTACCACGCTTCTCCATTTAGCATTATTATAACCATATTAGTTGTGGTAATACTTAATCGATTAGATATTGATAATTTATTAAATGTAGAAAGCTAAAAGAATAATAAGATTTTTCGAACCTTCTTTTATTAATATTTTCTCCACGAACGATTCCAAGCTGACATGTAAATTTTTCCTTGTTGAGACGGGTCGAAGAAAAGCTTTAGCAGTGCTGCATCGCAATCCATTTCTTAAAGTACCGTAAGAATACATGAAACAGGTCTGATTTTCACCATTTCCATCGCGCACTTTGTATCCCAGCTCCTCGCCGGAGCGAATAATATAATCGACAATTGGTGGATTATACTTGTAACGTTCCACCGTCAGATATCCGCCCTTTTGATGGTAAGGCGAGTCGATGAGTTCCTCAACTCTTGTATCTTCGGATTTTTTGAAATACGGTAGAATACTTTCGTAATCCCAACCCGCATTACCGAAAGTTGCCCAAGAGTCATAATCTCTTTTGTTACCACGGATATAAAGCATCGCATTTAGCACACTGCTACCACCTAGCACCTAAAGAATGCACCAATCGAGTCTAATTATTAAAACTCGAGTTTAACTAATTTGTTATATCGTTGACTGAGAACCAGGCTGTTCTATCTTTATTTTATTACTTTTCAGGTAATTAAATACGTAGTAGATATTATATGGAAAAATAGAAACTGTTTTAAAATACCAGAAAACTACAAATTATTTAATAAATAAATATATATTAGCTGTTTTAATTTTATATGAACAAATTTTAGAATATTATTATAAATGATGCGTGCACCTCCTTATCTTACGCATAAGATATGAGGTGCGCACGCGCGCACACACATACACACACACATTCGTAGGTTATTTTCTATTTTATCTTTGATACTTGAATATCTTGAAAAGGTAAAATTTTTTGAAAAAATATTTCAAACAAAAGTCACTTGTTTTCGAAAAGAACGTATTATATCGATCTTACGATTAATTTGACTTTGCATGTTAACTAAAATAGATACCTTTCCCCTTATCCATTCGCATTCATGATTTCTCATCGCCAGACAATAATTGGATGATGATTTTGTTTTAAATTTCCAATCGAAGAGTGTATTTTTCAAAGTTCCAGTTATTATGGGCACGTCAGTTAAAGTCAATTCATCGGCACCGGCTTCGAGCAAGAGCACAGTACGATCTTCATCCTCCGATAATCGGCTGGCTAATACAGCGCCAGCTGATCCTCCGCCAATTATCACATAATCATAATCAACTAATAGCTTTTCCGTCACTACTGATTGCACACGGTTCTTTTTGTCTACAATGTCTGGACGCATATTAATAATGAGACATCCCAACATTGTAAGGAAAATTTTGAAATTTAAGGATGTAATCAGCATATATGCTGCTGTCAGACGAATCATGGTATTTGATGTCAGCCGTCGTGTAATAATCCTATCATTGAAAAGAAAGGGAAAGAGAATTTATTACTTAATAATTAACTACTAACACACACACACACGCACGCACGCACGCACGTTCCATAATTAAATATTAAGAAAAACAAAGTATAAGTTAAATAATGAAACAAAGTACCTTCAATTCAGAACTTTTGATTGTATATAATATTTAATCGAGGTAATAAATGGTAATTATTGTAATAATTGTGATGATTTGTACTAACTGTTACACTATATATTCCATAACAAATCGTATTTAATTTTAATTATGGTCACTATATATATTGTACGGTTACGAATCCAATTGATGAAAACTATTATAATTATCTTTGTCTCCTTATTTATAGTCCAGAGAGAGAGAGAGAGAATTGCCTCTCTGAGCCTTTCCACCACTTACAAAAAAATATTTGGAGGGGAAAATAAATTATTAATGAGATGTAAGAAAATCTTATTACAAATTGAGCTCGAGTTGAATATTCAGTTGTCGATTGTCATTCAACCTACATCGATAAGTCGTTTATTTTGCATTAAACATATGGATAAAACATAATGAAAGAATATAACAATTATATTTGGAAAATAATACTTGCATTTATATCATGGAATATAACAAAAATTGCATTATATTGCATTATAAAATTATTGCAAAATTACAAGCATTCTCTCTAAAAAAAATAAAATAAATACATAACACTCAGAGTAACTTCTCGATATATCAATTGCGTGTTAGCCTAACATTCGTGTATCGTTTGTTTTTCTATCAAATTTATATCGAAGTTAATCGGATCCAATGACAATTATCGTCTTTATTAAACCGTTTCTGGTCTGCTTTTCCATTTCAACCAATATTCCTTGATCATATCCGATCCACGTTCACCAATCATAATCGTTGGTGCGTTAGTATTCCCACTCACAAGATTTGGCATGATCGAAGCATCAATCACACGAAGCCCAGCCACACCGTAAACCCTGAGCTGCGGATCGACGACGGCTTCAGGATCCCAGTAAGGGCCCATTTTGCATGTTCCAACCGGATGATAGATAGTGGCACTATAATGCCTGATCATACATTCCCAGTAAGGATCGGTGTACATGGGAATGTTTTTACATCCTGGAAACTGCTGCGAGTTTAGCTCGCTTCCGAATCGTTTGAAGGCGGCGGTTCTGCTGAGGGCGACACCAATTTTTACTCCTTCGACCAATGTGGCAATATCGACTGGTTCTTTGAAGTAGTTTGGATAAATGAGAGGGTGATCAAACGGGTTTTTACTGCGCAGTTTAATTATACCGCGACTTTTCGGTCGCAACAACATGGGGATCACACTCCACGTATCTTTGTCGCTGATCGACCCGAAAACGGCGTTATAAAACTGCTTTGTCAGTCCGTGCACCTTTCTTATCTGTCTACCGCCGTCCGAATTGGTCGACCCGGAAACGAAGTGCAGCTCGATGTCGGGAAAATCCAATGAGGCATTTGCATATTTCGTGTTAACAAAAGCGATGCCTTCGACGCCTCCCAATACTGTCAGAGGTCCGTCACCCAGCACAGCGTACTGCATCACCGTTTGCGTGCTGTGCAGCCGTTTCTCAACCATGGAAATTTCCTGGTTGACCATGAACGCGAGTCCTCCCAGGCCAACATGATCTTGAAGATTATAGCCCACCTGGAGATGCAGAAATTTTCTAATAAACAAGTAGGATAGAAATTTGAAAGGTTTTTTCGTATTATTTTGTATTATTTAGAAGAGAGTTGTATAGCAAAGGTTTAGAAACCTAGCGTGAATTCTCTCGAGGAAAAATCCAATTCTCACACTAACCTTGGAGTTTTGAATTACAGCGATTCCAAGTTCTTGCAAATGTTCCCTTGGTCCAATTCCTGACAGCATAAGTAACTGAGGTGAATTTATCGCACCACTAGACACAATCACTTCTTTCTCTGCGCGTATACGAAATACTTTGCCATTCCTGACGAATTCTACCCCATAAGTACGCTTTGATTTGGGATACACCAAAACTTTGGTCGCTTGCGCGTACATCGCGACGTGTAGATTCTTTCTGAGTCTGGCCGGTCTAAGAAAAGCTTTCGCACTTGAACAACGGCTGCCGCGCCTGATGGTACCCTGGGCGATCATAAAGCCGGTTTGATGTTCGCCATTGATATCACGATTTTCGTAGCCCATCTCTTGGCCAGCTTGAACGAAGGCCGCCGCCAAGGGCGTGTGCCATGGTGCCTCCTGCACAGTCAAGTATCCGCCGCTTGCGTGATACGGCGTCCGAACTAAATAGGGGTTTTGATTGTCCTCCGATTTTTTGAAATAATGCAACACGTCGCGGAATGCCCAGCCAGGATTACCTTGCTGTTCCCATATATCATAATCTCGCTTGTTACCTCTCAGGTACAACATGTAGTTTAGCACACTCGATCCTCCGATCACCTTGCCTCTCGGCCAATTGCAACGACCGTTTTCCATCGCTGTAAATATGTATAAATAACGTAAAGAAAACAAAAAAAGAATGTTTTTTGTGGGAAGATTTAAAGAAAATAATGAAAAGGTAACGAAAGAATTATGGAAAATACCTAAACAAGCATCACCCTGTGGCTCGGTTTTGTATTGCCAGTCTAGTTGACTCAGTTGAAGATAACCGGCGAGCAATGGCACATCCGAAATCTCCGTTTCGTCACCGCCTGCTTCAAGCAACAATACATTCCAGTCTTCGATTTCAGATAGACGACTCGCAACTACAGCTCCTGATGTCAAAGACAAATTTTCTGTCACGACATCAAATAAAGTTTATAAAATTTTCTAAAATTATAATAAGAAACAAGGAAACCTGACGATCCGCCGCCTATTACTATAAAATCATACGATGGTAACAGCATCTCCGACGGTACGTTAATCGGCGGTGCTTCATTGTCTAGGGCTTCGTATTGAAAATAGACAAGCGCCGCAGCAAGAACTGGAAAGAACCATGACAGTCCGCTGGATGCCGAAGTCAAACCTCCTGCCAAAATGCTTTCGATACCCATTTTATTTCTCTTACGCCGTGGTGCTTTTTACTAATAAACTGGAATTTGTAATACACGTATGAGAGTGTTATATTACTTGATAATAATCTATCATGCTATATACAATATCTAATTTCTAATTATAAGCAAGTAATTGTGTTTGCTCGACTTACAAATACGTTCCACATGTAACGTCACGTTTCTTTAAATTATAATTTTTCATAATACGAGAGAGATGCAAGTGGTATTTATTTTACTTTTATTTGAGAATTAAGATATTTCGGAAGAAATATCTAACCGAATCAAACCGGCACGTTCTACTGTTGAAACGAAACCAATAACTCGGCAACTATCACATTAGAAATTGACTAGAAGGAACCGAGCCAGCTGGCTATCAACTTGCTCGATCTCAATGTGAGTTGAATATCGATTGCTAAAACTTTCAACTAGTTAATACCTAAATAATTTTTACTATATCTTGTATGCGCGGGTGCATAAGAATCATGCAATGGAAAAAATTCTGTTTAAAAAATTTTTTTTTTAATTTAGAGGTGCATCTTTTTCGTGCAGCCTCGATAGATTTTCATACTAGGAAGATTGTAATGTGATAAATAACTGATGGCGTATTTATCATGGTATATATTTTTTAATTGTATGAAATTAATGAATAACATATTAATTTGAAAAATTTTGTTTGCTTTTGGGAATTGTTATAAAGACACGTGTAACTCTTATTATAAACTGTTGCAATACTTATTAGGAACATACACACAACATACACACTAGCATTTCAACAAAATCAGATAGAGAAATAACGCTGAATTAAAATAGAATAAGGATGAGAAAATTGGACGTGAAATTGCGGATACGTGTTGTTCGTATCAATATGCACCGAACTCCTAACGAGGTAAATGATTTGAAAAGGAAAGCTGCACTGGTTTACCTACTTCCTGGAAGCGACGACAAATATACATTCTAGAAGTTTCCTGCATTCATTGACGTAACATTGAAGCTTTTTTAATGACATTTCATCGTAATTAAGGGGATATGCTCGTTTTCGGTACTGTTTTTGACGCGTTTTTTTTTTGTCAAGAGGAATTTTTTTTGGAAAAAGTATAAAAGTTATAAATTTACAACTTGGTACTTTTATTCTTCTATGCTTCTTCCATATTCTTTATAAATTTTTGCAAACATTAAAAATTTTTTATAAAAGTTATGGGCGTGTCCGTATAGGCGTATCAAAAAAACGTCGGCTCACTATTGCCACGATTTAAGATGCAGAAATTATCTGAAACAAAAAATTCAAAAAGATTCTTAATCTATACACTTGTAATTTTTGGCTGAATTACAACCAAGTTAAAAAATTTATTTTTGCAAAAATGGCACAGTTTAAAAAAAATCGATTTTTTCGCCTTTTTTTCAAGATTCTTTCTTGCCGGAAAAATCGAAAAGTTGGAATTTTTATTTGATTTTATTTGATTTAGTTCAGCCAAGAAAGGAAAGTGTTGTGAACGTCTCCTTAAAATTTTTAGTCGATTGGATTAAAACTGTACGAATTATGACAATAATTTTGGAAAATACTGTTTCGAGAAAAACGCGTTCAAAGTTTTACAAACAGTTTACATGTTAATAAAAATTTTTTTAAGTGTCTGACCTCTAATCTGCTATTCCAGCACCATACAAGGATCCTTTTTCGTATATTAAAAAGTGCATGATTAGCAGATTTGTCTTGTCTGCTTATAGATTTTCCAATTCTTGCCTCATCGGACGTCCGGTGTTCCGAGCGTTTTATGCGCTTTTGATCTCTCGCGTCTACAAAATTTTTTTATTTTTACACCGATTTTGACTTATTTATTTTTCCTTTACGTTTTAACGAGTGTCGCCACATCTTTGCAAATTATACCTTGTAAACAGACGACTATTCGAAAACAGACTATTAGCCACACGCTTCAGCAACAGACTGATTCCTTTTTATTTGCCTCTAGTATGCTCTTCTCGGACTCTCACACACACACACATTCATATAACGTATATTCTATAGCGTATATTTGATAATACAAACATTCTAACACTCTAAAGTTGTGTGTATAGAGAGCACCTAGCCTTGACAAAAAAAATTTGAAAGAGTGTAACGGTCGGTCGTTCGAGCGGTCGTGTAGCTGCGTGACGCGCATCCGTTTATCGACTTTCTAGACCAGTTTAAGAACTCAAATTGCCTTAAAACAAATGAAAATATATTCTAAAAGGTTCAAAGTATTCAAAAATGCAAAAAAAATCGATTTTTTGAAGCCCAAAAGCAAGAATACTCTCTTAATTAATAATTAATTACTCTTGCGCATATGTATGTACATCATTTATTTTCTTAGCAAAAATGTCGAGGTACTTGTATTTTTTGAATTATACGCGATTAATAAAAAGAAAAGCTTTTTTTCATAAAATGAGCTCAAAAGAAATAAATAACAAGATTATATTTTTTAATTAATTTTAAATAACTTTAACATATAATTTTAATTTAAGACTTATAATTAATTAGAAAAAATATAAAATTTTGAAATATGTAAAAAAATGGCGATGTATAGTGATTTAATGCTCGCTGAGGAAAAGTCAACTGTAAATAGTTCATGAGATGTCAATAAAATTAAAATTGCGAGTTTTGAAATACCTTGTATATTATCTTTATTATTATTACATATAATCAATCACATTCAAAATACACTCATAGATTACAAGAAATTACTGTGAATAAGTATAACAAAATGAGCATATTTTGATTTATGTATATAGGGTAACAACTTGATAGTTATTCTTTAACATTGCTAAAGAGTATTTAAATTTATCTTTATATATTTAAATTTATCTTCTCTCCTATATATACCATATATATATATGTATATTGCGCGCGCGTGTGTGTGTGTGTGTGTGTGTGTGTGTGTTTATCATGCTTAAAAGAATTAATTTATGATGTATATCCTAAATCAATCATTCATCGATATTTTCCATAAATTATTTTCTTACCTTTTTTTCAATTTCCATTTAGATTCTCTCAAGATTAATTTGCTTCACGCACCGTAAGTCCAATAATATCAAAGTAAACATTGTATTTGTCACATTTTGAATATATCCAGCAAAAACTTTGCCAACAATCAAAGATGTGATTTTTCGGAAGTAATTCTTTCATTACGTGACTGCAGTAAAATAATGTGAAATAAGGTGAAATTTCTTTGCTGATGGATACAAACGAGTTTACGTTAGTCGCGGATACGCTGATCAATGAATGAGGAGACAAAAGATTACTTGACGAAAAGTGATATAACACTGATCGTGACCTTGCTCCAGCTTCAACTACTCGCATGTTACTCGTATCTCATTGAGGATGGATCAGCCGTATGCACCAATAGCCTCGTACATGCGATGCATAGCGGTATAGACTCGCCTCTCTCTTTCTCTTTTGATTTTTCTCTTTGTCCGCTTTATACTAGTGTACCGGTCTCCCTTCTCGTCGTCTGCCTGGTCCCGTTCTTCGTTGTTATTCCCCACCTATTTTCTTCGAGACTCATGGTTTCAGCTGAAAAATAAAGTCAGTATAAATGCAAAAACAGAATTAACATTTAACATTGGATATTTTAATGTTTTCTCGACGGATTCAAGTGTGACAGCGCTGTGTGACATCATGCGGTGCAAACTTACGGTAAAAAGTTACTCATCCACTAAGTATATTATGGGTACCGACCTACTTATCGTTGCGATACAAGCATGCATTTAACGATCGTTGAGAACTACAAGTTAATCGATGACGTCGTAGCTACGTGCAACCTACAAAGTAAAGCTTTTTTTAACTTGAATCTTTAACACACACACCCGCATGTGTTTACAGTCTTTATAACTTGGTGAATTTTAGCTCTTAAATACTGTTGCACATATGTTTGTAACATTACCGTTGACACACAAGTTATATACCGAATTATATGTGTGCGTACGAAGAATCATATTAAAAAACATACATATATATTTTAATATTTTTACATATTTATATCCACATTGTATCCGATGGCGTACATTTTACAACAACTGTTGTGCAATAATATTGTCTGCATTTTATGAAAAGGCATGAGATGCCACCAACTCTGTGCTAAAGCTTAAAGTTTCACTATTTGTGCACTAATGTTTCTAATTGAGAACATAATTTTTTATGTGAATTTGAAAATATGAAAATATTGTTTTCTTTCTATTTTTAACTGTCATTTAGATGCTTTACGTGCCTCAATCTGTATAATTTCAGATATCGTATATTACTGTTCTCAGTTGTATGTTTTATATAAAAATGTCTAAGACGCGCAAAAAATAAATAATTTTGCTTTGCTTTTTATTCCTCGCGTCGTAATAAAAGAAACTTTCCTTTCAAGGAAAATGTTTTATTTTGTAATAATTGATATTTTATCGCAAACTCTAATAGTCATAAGTAGATACAAAAATTACAAAAAATAATTGATAAGAGAAAGAAGTTTTCTTATATACGAATGGGATTTGGCAATTAAAATGTTAAACGAATATCCATAAAATTTAATATACTATGATCAAATTCTCTTGTTTGTAACACGCTTATAAATATTATCTTTGCTATCCATTTTAGGAGGATGCTGCGGTTCGATGAGAAAGAGGACCATCGTCGGTGGATATGCATTTACCTGGTGGTTTGTCACCGATGTACAGCGATTATCACTAGAGGTGATGACCCTGAACCCGGTATGCGAGAGTGTGGAAACGGCACAGGGTGTACCACTGACGGTCACCGGCGTAGCACAGTGCAAAATCATGAAGGCTGACGAATTGTTGCACACTGCCAGTGAACAGTTTCTTGGGAAAAGTGTTCACGAAATCAAATCTACAATTCTGTCCACTCTGGAGGGTCACCTCCGAGCTATATTGGGTATGTTTGATCACTCTTAAAATTCAAGCAAACGTTTAAGAGATGTATGAATGATATACATCTGTAATCTAGCCTTTTCTTTTCTGAATCTGAAATTTTGACAAACTTGAGATTTATCCGTTTCTAAAGGTGTCTAAAGGCAATTATCGTTTGTTTTATTAGCAGTCATAGTCATCCAATTTATTGTTAAAAACACGAGTAACGAGGGATAAATGGTGGGTGCCATCTAAGAAAATTGACAAAATAGTTATACATTTTGCTGACTTCAAAATTACACTATAAAGATTTTTATATAAATAAAGATTTACAGTTAAGCTATAATACAATTGTTTTTATTTGTGGACTCATAAGAGAATATATTCGTTCTTTTATAGGAACGCTTTCAGTGGAAGAAGTCTATAAGGATCGTGATCAATTCGCGGCTCTCGTGCGCGAAGTCGCCGCACCGGATGTCGGTCGTATGGGAATCGAAATTCTCTCGTTCACGATAAAAGATGTTTACGATGACGTTCAATATTTGACATCACTCGGCAAAGCTCAGACGGCTGCTGTTAAAAGAGATGCCGACGTTGGTGTTGCCGAGGCGAATCGAGATGCCGGAATTAGGGTATGTTTCAGCTTGAAAATATATAATGCGTTATGCGTGACCTCACTGTCGCATATTTATATCTTATCCTTATAGGAAGAAACAGATACCACCAAAGAAGAAGAAACCTAGTTTATAAAAAATAGACATAGAAAATCAAAATTAATGATATGCAAAGTATTTTGCTACATTACAAGCGCCACATCAACGTTTGATGGCTTTGGATTTTAATTTAAAACCAATTTTTTTTTTCAACCAAAATGTTTAAATTAAAATTCTACTAAATTAAAGCTCGTCTTTTAAAGTAGTTAGAGATATCAATTTCAAATAAGTGTTATTTTAGCAAAATTTTAATCTAAACATTTCTGTTGACAAAAAAATTGATTTTAAATATAGCAGGCTGTTACCCGATTTTATGATTTTGTAATTTTTTTCTTGTTTTACGACAGGAAGCGGAATGCGAGAAATCAGCGATGGATATTAAATATAACACCGATACGAAGATAGAAGATAATGCGAGACTCTATCAGTTGCAGAAAGCTAACTTTGATCAAGAAGCAAACACAGCGGTAAGTTTATTTTCGCAAAGCATGAACATCATTTCCAGTAAAGTAAATCGTGATTGTTGTTACATATTCATCTTTTCTGAACCTCTCCAGAAAGCCGAGGCGCAGTTAGCTTATGAGCTTCAAGCAGCGAAGATAAAACAGCGAATACGAAATGAAGAGATACAAATAGAAGTTGTGGAAAGACGCAAACAAATCGAAGTTGAGGAACAGGAGGTACGCCGAAAGGAGCATGAACTTCAGAGTACAGTGCGATTACCAGCCGAAGCTGAATTCTATAAAATGGGAAGAATAGCTGAAGGAAAAAGGTAGGAATTTCTTAATATGGGGAAGGGGGCTTGCGATGTTAGGAATTAAAAAAATAATTTTTCATTATTATCATCATAAAAGAAATTTTTCATGTACTATTAACATATAAAAAATTTAAAAAGTATATATGTGTACAGGTGTATATGGAAATAATTTTTGCTTTATAATAATTATTGTTTGTAATATAAAATTAGACTGCATAATGTACAATAGAATTATTATAACTTTTATCATGTATAACGAAAAAAACAAGCTATACATATGACAAGTGTGATCTTTCTTTCTCTCTCTCTTTCTCTCTCTCTCTCTCTCTCTCTCTCTCTCTCTCTCTCTCTCGTGTAATATTTATTATTGATTCCTTATAACTCTTTATATAATATTTGTGATTTTTCTTATAACTGTCATAAAAAAGAATGCTGTTTCAATGTTCTTCCATGTCGTAATATTTGTAATTCTTTTTATACAATGTTTAAATTTTATTCATCTCAGAACTCAAACTGTGAGCGCGGCGAAAGCCGAAGCTGAGAAGATCCGTTTGCTCGGAGATGCTGAAGCTCATGCTCTGGAAGCTGTCGGTATATCGGAAGCCGAACGTATGCGAATGAAAGCAGCAGTCTACAAGAAGTACGGTGAAGCGGCAATACTCAACATCACTTTGAACGCTTTGCCAAAGGTGCGTGCTACTTTTCACATTCTCTTTGTGGATGTTAATATGTATTATTTTGCAAATGATGATATTTTTCTCTCTACAGATTGCAGCTGAAGTTGCGGCGCCATTAGCAAGAACAGAAGAGATCGTGCTTCTCGGTGGAAGCGACGCAACTAGCGGAGAACTTACACGTCTCGTAGGCCAAGTACCGCCAGCTGTACAAGCATTAACTGGTGTAGATCTTTCTAAAGTAAGTTTAACCAGTTTTTTTTTCTTTTTTCTATCGCTTAATAAATTTGACTTTAGTAAGTAACATAGAACGCATGCCACGTGACAACCGTGTATCTTCGAACAATATTTAATCCAAGCGTCATAAACTCAATTATCAATAACTAATTCCATGTTCTATGCTTAGGTGCTAGGAAAAATACCAGGCGCAAAGTAATAATGGACGGGCGTGAGTTCAGAGATGGCGATCGGGCGAATAAATTTGGAATCAATTTGTGAAAGGGGCAAAACCTTATACTGCCAAAGGTTTCTCCGCTATATTATCTCGCTCCATTATCTAGCGACGATACACTCCGCTTTATCCTTTTTCCCGAACTTCGCTCTACCTCAAGTCTAGCTAAAGCAGCGCTACACACGGACACGCTTTGTTATCCCTTATCATGGATAAGTCCGTTCAAGTTACTCGCGTTATACTCGCACGTTCCTTATTTTAACCACGATGCGTACAATGTGCGCGATAATATTGCATTTCGTTGGTTAATTTGCAAGGTCACGTTGCAATCGTGGCTTTTAGGGGACGGGCGATTAGCGCGTGACCTTGAATCACTAATCGATTATCCGACAAAAAATACGCATTCGAAACACGACAATCCTTTCAAAGGGTTTCGATATATTTTATTATTCCAGTTATAAATATCTATCGTTTTCTAAATTTATGTAAAAACACTGCCCATGGTCGTGCCTAAGGTAGGAACGATTATGAGTACGTCGTAATGATACGGCTGCTTGCTACTGATGGAATGCATAAAGTGACGATATTTACGCGATGTTATTTCTAATAACGGCAAAAGTTATTCCTAATAACGTTTGTTATTTTTTTTAATTATTTAAAAGACGATAAAAAAATGAAAATTGAAGAAAAAAATCACAAACTTTAGGTAAATCAGCGAGAATTTTAATGCACAAATTTAACGAGAAATACGTCAAATGCGAAATAAGCCTATTAAATCACTGCCAAATTAAACATCCTTTCTGCTTCTTCCAACTAATGGTGGATTTGCATTGTCGAGGGCCTGAAGCTAATATTCCTGGCAAAGGGAAAGATTAAAGAAAAAAGAGATTATTTTATGTATATTTAATGAGTTTATAAACTTTAGGGCTTAAACGTCATTAGCGTACTAATACTGCCTCCAAAATATTCGCTAAAATAGAGTCTGTGACAACTTGTGATGACAAATGCTCTGAATTAAATTTGTGTAAAAACAAGAGATATGCAGAGTGTATCGTAATTTAGATACGTAGCAATCGAGGAACAAATGATTTAAAGGTCAACAAGGATTACCGAACTTTATTCCAGCGTGGAAAAAGAAAAAGCAGATGTGTTATTGACTTTTTAATCTTGACAGTTTTTCTCCAATACGGAATCTTTTAAATATAGGAACTTGGGCGTGAAGAACTGACCGCGGTGATATTAGCGTGAAAGAAATAAATTTTTTAATTTATTGATTATATGAATTATTGTGTGACACACATAAAATAATATAAAACACACACAATAATCTTTCAATGGAGATTCTATATTAATAAGGATAACTTTAAAAAAGTTGTACTTGACTTACAATTATAGAAAAAATAATTGTTAAATTACGATACGCTCTGTTTCGCACTTGCGATTAAATTACAAAATGATTTCCTTTTAAAGCTTATTAAAACATTTCCGCTATTCATGCTGTCTCGGTCAGTTTATGCATTCCACTTAATTCGTCAGAATACAATAAACAGCCACTAATCAATACCGAAATTCGGAATTTAAATCCAACAAGCAACATAATTAAGAGTTTCGATATCATTGTGTTCAACGTAATTAAGTGATTTAACAAAAGAGGAAAGAGTAGGTTCAACGCGATTCAGAATGTGCGTTAGCCGTCGTCTGTAGTCGCTGTACATATTTAGAGTTACGTATGTATAATAGGCAAGAAGTTTCTATCTTTATGAAGCAGAAAGAAAAGTACGTCACGCTGACATACTTGAAACAGTAAAGAGAGTACTCGACGCTCGATATATGTTCTCGGTTGACCACGCATCGGAATTCACAGCATTAAAGCAAAGAGAAACGATATATTCATATGAAAAGTGCCAATTTGTATATACGATTCCGACTCACTGGTAGAAGTTGATAAAGTGAGTAAATCTGAATAAAAGTTCGATATTATTTGTACAGTGACTCGTTAGTTACTACTGCGAGTTATGGATTTAACATTCTATACACGTTCTATTATTATCTCGTTCTCCATTTATTTCTTTCACGTTTGTATGTAAGCCATGGTTATTTCGAATATATTTTTCTGATATTACATACAGATTTTGTTTTACGATTATACATATTTTTAGATTGCTTGTTTTACAATTATATGTTTTTAGATTGCTTATAATTTACAATTATATTTTATTATGATATATATATGACACACATAAGTTTATACAAAACACGAGAAATATATATAATTCTTTCACCTAAGAAGTTAAATATAAAGTAGACATATTTATATTGGTTTTTATTCGTGTACACCTATCACTCATTATACTCAGTATATTTATATTTAGTGCTATCATTTTATTTAATAAGTAACAGCATTTGACAATTGAAAGGTACAATACGAGCGCATATTTATCCATTAATATCATTGCAATTATTGAAAAGGGAAGTCAAGAGACATGAGATCTTTAATCCAAAAAAAACCAAGTCTTCCCAAGATGCTTAGTGCAGCAAATCAGTACAAAAAAAAAGAAACGTCAAATACCTCCCCTTCCTAATAGAAAACATCCGCTCTGTGAAATCGGAGACACACAGAGAAAAGAAATCTGTTGGCAAAAACACAAAATAAACATATAATAATAATCCCATTATTATAACAAGAAATCTGTAAGACATCTATAGCAATCGAATCAATTTGATAAATATATCACCACCGAGCTGATATTTTATGTACAAGATATATTGTCGGCTTTAATAGTTGCTGCTGCGCCTTTAATCGACATTGTGTTTGTGAAAACTCCGATTGAAGTAAAATCTCCGTAATCAGAAACGAAAAATAGTGTCGTTAAATGTTCGATTTACTTTTTCAAGAAAGGGAGGAAGGGAAGATTTGATGCAACTCTTCCGATGAGTAGTCAATACGAGAAACGACGACACACACTTATATATATAATACAAAATTAGAATAGTTACAAGTTTTTAACAAATCCGATTTAATCGGCTTCTATTGTAATGTATCGAAGATTTACCAATTACCAATCATTGTGCCAGGATCAGATTCTTGTGAGGCGTCCAGTTTGCTTTCCCGAATGACAATGAACCAAGTAGTATCTCTGTTTCTGTCGATGGGACTCCGAAATAGAATAATATACATTTATTGATCCTTTGATGTAACATTAATTAATTAATTAATACTAACATGTATATGAACTTTTTTTACATATACTTTGTTTGTGAAGCGTATTCCACTAATACTCCTCTTTCCTTCAAACAGAAAAGCTAACAATTAAGTAACAAATGTAAGGACATTTTGCATAAACGCATTCTTGTTAAGATAAAAACAAGATCGCGTTCATCGTTCGAATCTAGTTAAGTATCTAATTGCGTTTACGCGATGGCGTGTGATATATTACGAAGAAAATATATACAGTTTTTATCTGATTTCTATCAGTTTCTATCTCTATTTGCTATCGCATAACTCGTGCAAAAAATACTGTCTATTCTGATTAGGTTTTCGTAATACCAACACAAATCATAAAAAATCTTCACGATGCTTAGTGTGTATTCTGTGTAGTAAATAGCGGAAATGAAACCAACTCGAACCGAACACATCGCTTATACGAACATGAGGCGATTGACTTTTGTATCCAAATACAAAGGAAATTCGATTTTCTGTCGTATATAATTTTAGCTACTTACTTCCATTCTCTGAAAATGAATGAAAATGAGTGCATTTATGATGTGCAACACACACATACGCGTGCGTGTGTACACATACACATTATTTTCTTCATTTTTTCTTACTCAAAATTGGCATAGTTATAAGAAAGTGCGCATTTTACAATCGTCTTCTATTGCTATTATTAATATTAGCGATGCGGAACATATTTCATTACTGTAATGTGTTTGTGTTCATTTCGTACGTGAGATAAATCATCTTATTGTGGAAAAAGGACATAATAAGTCCAAGTATATATACAGGATGTTGATTTATTATAATGAGAATGCTTCACTTTTAAGACAAAATTTTTCTTACAAATAAAATAATGTCTATGAGAAATTTGAAAAATGAAAAATTTTCTTTAAATTTTTCAACATATATAATTTCTATACGTATACATTACAGTTCTTCAAAAAGAAATATATCATGATATATTATTCGCAATTAAAAAATAAAAGCAATTGTTTAAATAAAATTCTTATATTATTATTGTGGTCTTTAACGAGTTAAAACATCAAAATGATATTTACAAAATGGAGTGTTTTGCAAAAATAGTAGAGGATGTTGAGATTGGTAAAAGAAATTTGTTGATTGTCTTGCCCATTGTTATAATAAAATTCACTATGTTTAAACGTGATTTAATACTCGTAATGCGTTTTGCTGCATCCTGCATATATTAAGCTTGACGTAATTCTTATGCATTAAATATGTCAATGGAAATGAATAAACTTTCGACATTTCACGTTAACCGTTTGCAAGAGCAATTGTAGTCAAGAGTTTATCAAATACGTAATTACTTACAAATACATCAATCAGTTTGCCGTTTTCGATATGCAACACAATACATTCCACGCGATTAAGAATCTTTGTAACTTTTGAATCAATATATTTGTATCGGCAGTTTTTTACTTATGCAAATAGATTTTCGAGAATTTGAATTGAAAAGATCTATAAAACTAATTATGTACGTATAAGATACACGTACATAATTGGCGACTTTGCGCATTCTCTTTCATGGAATTTATTCTATCTATGCATGATATCGAAGATTCTTAATCGGAGAGTTACTGTTACTATAGAACAATTATATAATATTATATAACCCGTGCACTCTATGTGAATTTGTTGTCACTAGCGACACTGTGTTTCGCGTTCGTGTTATATTTGCAAACAAGTGCGATTCCCTTCAATTAATAAGAATCTTGTATCGTAAATCATGAGACGCGCCAACGCATGGGGTGTCATTGTTCATGATTTTTCCAATGTGAGTTCCCATAAACGTTGCGACACACCTACGAATACACGACCAAAAAAAAAATTTGAAAGGAATGGTCCATGGTTCTAGTTAGAAATTCAAAATTGTACCGAGAAGTGTCTGGAGAAAATGAATCTAGTCTTTTATAAACAATGAACACAAGATAATGTATATTTTGAGAGTTATGTGCTAGAGGCGTCTCGATGCGTAGATAGAGGACAATATTATATTATTGTGTCATATTCTACTCTAACTGAAAGTAATGGATTACACAATATTGTGAAATTAGTGCATATTTTTAATAAATGGATCGCAAAATCACTTGTCCATCCAGTAATTATTAGCTCTCACCTATATATATTATTTGAAAATTTTTTAATAAAAAAAGTTGTTCTGAAAAATTTTTGATTAAAAAATAAAAATTTTTAAATTTATTCTCAACAAAAAATTTTATTAATTTATATATATATACATAATTAATGTTTCAGTCTAGTAAAAAGGTATGCCATATGGTACCTGTTCATTTAAAAAAACTATTTTTTGAAAAATCAATAAAAAAATAAAGTATATTTACATATATTTATATTTACGTATACATGTACATATAAATATAAATATATGTAAATATACTTTGTTTTTTATTGATTTTTCAGAAAATAATAATTTTTTAATTAG